AGAGTCAGAATCTAAAAGGACGCAACAGGCTGGAGCAATGGAAGGAATCTAAGAAGGTGAAACAGGATAGTGAAAAATGCCACATTCTGCGGCTAGGTCCCAAACTAACTTTCTAAAATTGGAATGGGTAGAAATGCAGTGGTTCTCAACCTTCTGGCCCTTTAAAACAGTTCCTCATGTTGTGACCCCCAACCATAAAATTATTTTCCTTGCTACTTCATAACTGTAATTTTGCTACTGTTATGAATCCTAATGTAAATATCTGATATGCAGGATGGTCTTAGAACAACCCGACCGCCAAAGGGATCGCGACCACAGGTTGAGAACCGCTGGTTTAGAGGCAGCATATTTAGGAAGGATTTAGAGCTTTTCAATGGTCAGAGATGCAATCATGATGTGGCTGCCAAAAGTGTATGTTACCCTATGGTATAGCAACAAAAATATGATGTGTAGAATAAGGAAATGATAAGAATATACAGATGATCAGAATCCCTATCTTTAAATATTTAAAGGATGGTAGAGGATATAGGCCAAACCTAGCTGAATCGCTGGAAGCTTATAAGTAGGTAGGGTTGCCAAATAAAAATATAGAATGTGCAGTTAAATTAAATTTGAATTTCATGAATTTCATATTTGGGACATACTTATACTAAAAAAAAATGATTCACTGTTCATCTGAAATTCAAATTTAACCTGGTGTCTTGCATTTTATATGTTCATGTTACCTGGGACTCACCCCAGATCTAATGAATAAATATCTCTGGAGGTTAAATTGTTAATGTTCCCCAGGTGGTTTTGATATAGATCATGGACTAGCAATTGGGAGGCCTGTCAGAGCGGCAGTTCTCACATTTTATCAGGCCTCAGAGTCACCTGGGGGCTTGTTGAAACCAGCGGCCGGGCCCCACCCTGAGTTTCTGACTCAGTAGATCTGGGGTAGTGTCTGAGAATTCCAATTTCTAACAATTTCTCAAATGCTGTCCTTTGACCACACTGAGAGGAACAAGGTCCTAGCCAATCTCTCCCACTATCATTCTGTCCCCTTTAGAGACTCACCCACTGTTGGCCTTTGTCCCAGAAGACAAAGCCAAATTCCTTCAGGGAAGTCATCTAGAGTGGACTTCAGCTAAGTCCATAAAAGATCCACCCCTCCTGCCCCCAACAATCAAATCTTAATTAAAAACAGAACAAAACTAAGCAGTTCAGCTCATCCCAGGATGAGTGAGTTCCCCTTTACAGAGACTGTTCAAGCAGGAGATAGATACTATATTCACCCAAACACTCACCCAACATCTACTCTGGGCCCCACCCAATGAAAGGCTGAGGATTTGGAGATGAACACAGTCCACCCTGGCTATCTGGGAGCTCGAAGTCTGGCTTGGGAAACCAATAGTTATCAGGTGTAGTGTCTGCAGCTTTGCCTGGTTGGTCAGGGCAGGATTCCAAGGGGGTGGGAGGGGCTGGAGGCAGGGACACCGGAGCAGGTGAGGCCTGAATAGAATTCAAGAAATAGACAGACTTGGCAGGATGTGACTGGATGTGGATGAGCTGACTTGAGTGACCAGGTAGATTGTACAGCCATTTACTGTGATGGGGAACGTGGAGGGCAGATTAAAAGTGTGTTGAGGGTGAGGGGCTTGTGGGGGTCAAGCAGGCAGATATGACATCTAGAGCCATAACCCTAACCCTGACCCTAACTTGCCAAGGTCCCTGGGGACACTGACACAGTCTCTTTGGAGGCAGAGCAGCAAATGAGAAGTCTTTTCTCTACTGCTAATTGGCTGTTGGACCAAGAAGTCTCTTCCCCTCTCTGGACTCTTGTTTCCCCACTGGCCAATGTGGGGAGCGAGGCTGGACTCAGAGACTCCACCCACAGGTCCTTTCCTAGTCTGGAAATCTAGGTAACTATAAATGTGTACTGCCAAGCCTTCAGCCCCCCTCCTTCCTGCTTCTATAGCCACTGCTGCCGCCCCCCCAGAGCTCCGCCCTGAGGCTGTCTCCAGCACTGGGTCAGGTCCCAAGGGCAAGCCCATGGGCTGGGCCAGCCAAACCCATGTGCAGATTAAGTCCTGCAGATCTGAGTGGTTAAAGAGCCAGACCTCTAATTCACAAGCCTCATGGCTGAGTCCCTGGGCATTCCTTCTACTCCCAGACCCAAGCCCGGTCCCTTGAGTAGGCCTGACGGAGACAGGATGGAACAGTTTGGCTGCCGGTCCCTGCAAGTCCAGCCCTGCTGGTAGAGATTAATTGAAGGTGAAACAGTCCATCTGTACTGCAGTGTCCAGTCTGCTGACAGGCACGGAGCCTCCCAGCTAATGAGATCATCACTCATCCTGGGCTCAGAAGGGTGAGGTGCTCGCTCAGATTGGTAGTGACCTGGCTGGGTCTGGGGAGAGGGAGCAGTGGACGACATATGTGTCTGAGGGGGAGACTGGGCCTTGCCTTGGGGAACTCTGGTTTGAAGCTGAGACAGGGCTATGCTCTTTGGGAACTCATAATCTGAGTGACCTTGTCATGTGCCTTAAATTCTGTGCCTCAGTTTCCTTGCCTGTAAAATGGAACTAATAACAGCACGCTCCCCAGAATTTGGTGTAAAGGATGAATACATGTGAAATGGTACCACTGTGCTTAGCATGCAGTGAATATCTCATACATGGTACCAATGCTCGTTATTATTTGTCAGTGATGACTGTCCTGTTTTGGACTTGGTGGAGTCCCTAGTCATCCAGGGGGAGATGCCCAGGAGCCTCAGATCATGGGTCTGGCAGTCGGGAGGCTGAGCTCGGGCCTGATTTGGGAACTGTCATTACATAGTTGGAGACAGATTGGAGAGTGAACAGGTTGCTGATTGTGGAGGGAAGAGAGAGCAGAAGCAGGAGCTCAGGGCAGGAGGTGGAGGTCACTTTGAGGAGCCTGCTGAGGTGACATGGGCCACTATCCTCTGGCTGGCCTCAGCAAACTCCTCCCCTCCCCACCTCACTCCCAGGGCATCAGCCTCCAGCACCAGTGGCACCCACCTAGGGGCCCCCTTTATTCTGGAGGCTCAGAAGCCTCTCTCACCAGGGGGCAGCTCTCACTGACCTGGGGGCCCCTTTCCCTGCCTCCACCTGCCAGAGACCTCCCTCCCCATTGATGATGCCAGGACTCAAGGCCTCCACACCCTCAAACGTACAGGTTCCCAGAGCTTCAAGTAAGCTCTCAATCCCCAGTCACACACAATATAACCACATTCTTGCTACTAAGGTCTTTCTGTGGTCCCCCACGGGCCCAGAAAGCCAGGTGTGGGGTGGGTGGACAAGGAGCACTGGATTTGGAGTCAGAGGACTTGAGCTTGAATTTTGGTTCTACCTGGGTGACCAGGAAAAGTCATTAAACCTCCTGAGCCTCAGTTTTCTCATCTGTAAAATGAGGACAATACTCCTTACCTCCCAGCGTGGTGGGATCATTCATTCTTTCAGTGACAAGCTTGTTATGAAGACAGACCCTAATTACACCCCTCCCTGCACCCTGGCTTGGTGCTGGGGTAGTCAATAAGAGACCAGGGAAAGTCTGCTTGGCCTGGGAAGGTCAGGGAAGGCCCTTTGGAAGACGAATTGCTCCTTGTAAGGAAGGAAAAGTCCAGGTGGGGGCAGCACAGGCTAAGGGCAAGGGCAGGCAGGGGGCAGCCCTGGGGCTAAGTGGACCAGGGTGGAGTGGAATCATGGTGGGGAGCTGCCTTCCTTTGAGGTGGGGGCTGTGAGCACAGTGTGAGGCCTTCCAGAGAAAAAGCCCAGCGTGAGAGAGAGGGTGGAGAGGGACATGCCTCCTGGATTTCCTGGAGGAAAAGAATTCTTTGTAACTGTCAGAAACACGATGGAACTGACAAACACACATGAAACCACATACCTAGGTTGTGACACTAAGTCCGGTCTTTGTAAAAGTGAGTGTGCAACAACAATGGTTTGTCAACACATTTATCCAAGCTGGGAAAGACACCCATCTCACTGTGTCCAAGGAAGCTCAGGGTGTCACCCCACCTCCGTCGCTGACACTGAAGCCATGCGGTACCGGTGACACCGATGTGTTTCCTGAGCACGGGGGGGGGGGGGGGGGGCGGGGGGGGCTGTCTCCTGTCAACCCCACCCTTCCCTGTGGGGACCTTCTCCAGACTCCATGAGCCTCTCCAGCCCAGTGGCTACAACACCCTGAAAGCCTTCCCCATGCTCCCTGCCCAGGAGGGTGGGTTGGCGTGGGGGTAAAGGCCACAGGATGGGGTGAAAGCCCCTCAGCTCTAGGGGCAGGTCAAGCCCTCATGTCACAGCTATTCAGCGAGTGGGCACTCTGGGGCCCAGCAGAGGGTGAGAGAGATGTAGGGGGAGAAGCAGGGATGCCTGTAACGTGGATAGCAAAGTAAGTGCTGGAATGGTGGACATGTAGTGACATTAACTGAGAGGGTGTGTGTGTGAGAAGGAATATAGTTAGGAGGTCTTCCTGGAGGAGAGGTCTTGAAGTATACGTAGGAGCTGGTGGAACAAAGACGGGGAGGAAGGATGTCTCGGGTAGAGTGTGGGGCACGTGTGAAGAAAGCTTAATGAGGAAAGAGGGAAGAGAACGGGCTTGTTGCACAGCTGAGCACAGTGGGTGGGAGGAGACAGCGGAGCTAGGGCTGTACCTTGCAGGCAATAGGGAGCCAGAGAAGACTGTGGAGCTGGAGAGGCCATGATCAGATCGGCATTTTGGAAAGATCTCTTTTGCTAACCGGTGCCTTCACTTTTGCTGGCCCTTACCCTTTAGAGAGAGGTGTGACCCTAACTCCACATTAACTCGATCACCATTAATTAAGGCAGACATAAAACTTGAAATGCATTAATAGGCTCGATTAAAAAAAATCAAGACGAACATGTGCAGATCAGCAAGTGGCAGAAGAGCCAGCCTATGTTCAAATCACTTACTATGTGCCCCACAGTGACCCAACTTCTGTGCTGTTTCCTCATTTGTAAAATGGTGTTAATATTAGTAACCCCCTTAGGGTTGAGGGAATTAACCCTTTAGTTAAGGGCACTTACTAAGTTCTGTGTCCAAATACCTTTGCTAGTATTACCATAAACAATGCCAACCAGTCTAAACCACTACAGGCATGGGTTAACCAGTGGGACATATAGATCAGTATCAATCACAACAGATTATGTAGATAATTTTCCATTCCAAATCACTACCAACTTGTGAAGACTAGTAGGCCAACAAGGTCACTTTTCACAGATAACAACCCACACGGACCGGTGGAGACCAGTATTCACTGCTAAGAAAATGCTGCAGGGTGAGGCCTGGGAGGAAGGTGCTGGGCTGCTGGCAGTGAGAGGGTTAGCTGAGCGAGCTTCCTCTCTGCCTCCTGGGGACTCTCTCAGGAGGGGAGGGCAGGAGATGCTGGCTCTGCTACTTGTTACCCAACCCTCCTGAAGATGCTGTGGGGGAAGGGGGAGGGAGAAATGCTGAAAGCCTTCCTTTCAATTATTCAGCAGCCAGAGCTTCCTGCCGCCCCTGTTGGAGCCGGAGGAAGTCCTTGGCCAGAGTCCCCAGGCTGGGGCTGGCTGGGATGATGGAGTGCTGGTTCCAGGAGGACCAGGCAGCCTGGCCGACAAGGGTGCTGGTACCATATCCTGGGCCTGGGCCTCGGTGCTCTTGGTCCTCTCCTGCCCTCCTCTACCCACCCCTGTTCTGGAGCTGTCCCCTGCCCTGCAGTCTCAGTCTATGCTATGGAATGGAGGTGCTGGGGCTGGCTAAGTGCTCAGAAGCAAAAGGGGAGACCCAGGGCAGGCAAAGGAAGGAGGGCAAGCCCCCTGACCACAGGAGAAAGCCCAGGTAACTTAGCTGGCACCTGGGTCCTGGGCATCCTGTCCAGCCCCTGATATGTCTCAGACACAGGGCACTCTGCTCCACCCAAGAACACACTGGTCTATGCTGGTCCTTCTACTTGGAATGCTCTTACCCTTCCATTCATCCTACAAGACTCTGCTTAAGCCATCACCTCCTTGGTGAAGCCTTCCATGACCTCCACTGGGGGACACACATCTGTTGTGCTCCTGGAGCCTCAGCCCCCTGGCTACCACTCTCAGCATTTACCTCTGTTCTACTGCGGCTGTTAGTTCCCTGGCCTAGTGAGTGCTCGCCAAGGGCAGTGACTGGGACGCTTCCATTTTCGTGTCCCTGATGCTCAGCATAGAACTTGGCACAAAGCAGCCATCTGTGAACGCTTGTGGAAACCCAGACTGTGTTTGGACTGACAGTGAGCTCACTACTTGTGTTTTATTACTGCCATCTCTGGGGACCTCAGTGAGAAAGATCTCTAGTTACTGCTCTTAATATGCCTAGACTTTGTGTGTTGACATTTGCATGGGTCACATGGTCATATACTTTGTAGGCCCTGGAGTCCAGCTCTGTCTTTGAAGGGATAGGATGAACTTGCCTGCCCCTCAGCCTAGGGTCCCTGTTCCTCCTGTTCCTGTTGGCTTTGGTTTGGGTTCCCAGAGCAGAGGATCCGAGTGGTAGGTCCCAGGGACAAGGAACCTGCTACTCAGGCCCACAGGACAGTCCATCTACCTAGGTGAGACCAGTGCAGACCACTGGAGCCCAGGACAGGCCATAGAGGGCCTCAATCAGACTGGATACATCAACAGAAGACAGTGGGGAACCCACAAACCACAGTAAACCAGTAATACAGGCCAGTGGAATGGAGCAGAACACGTAATACTGATCATTGAAAATAATACAGACCAGTTCCACCCAGTAGACAGATCTGTATAGAGCAATACTGACACCAAATAAGCAAGTAGTATTTTAGCCTCCCCTGCACTCTAGTAGAACAAAGAAATTCCTGCCCCCACCCAGCCCATTCTGCTCCTATTCAGGGCCCTCATTGGCCTTCAGGGAGCTGTAGCCATCCAGCCAGGGAGCAGGCAGCTTCCTGTTGCTGTCTGAGCTAGAATGTAGATCTGGGAGCCTGAGAAAGGACATCTGATGGCATGGTCTCCCACGGAGGTGGTGATCTCTGTGTCCTGGGGAGGATCCAAGCCAGATGGCATTGGTGAGGTGTCCTAGGGAGACCCGCGTAATTACGTGTCAGGACTCCATGCTCTCCAAGGACCCTCCCATGCTGACCCTGGAGTTGAATCAGAGGAACCCGTATGCTCTCATCTGCTTCCATCATCCCCTTCAGCTCAGTCTCCTCCCCATCAGGACCCAGCCCTCCCAGGCTCACACCTGGGAGCTGGGCTGAGGAAAGGTAAGATGAGCTAGAAGCTCTGTAACCATATATCTTTTCCTCTTGGTGCCTCGGTTTCCTCATCCAGATGACATGTCAGGAGCCTGGGGCCAGGGTAAGGCTGGGCTCTGAGTCCCTGGCAGTCCAAGACTGAGAATAATCAAAGCTGTGGGTGATGTGCCTCCCCAGGAGCTATCAGGAGGAAGGGTGTGCTGGGACAGTCAGATAAGCGCCTTCTACCCACTGGGGCTGGTGACAGGAGAAGCCAGGGGCAGCTGCCTCCACTGCCTACACCGTCTCATTATGGAAAATTCCCTCTATTGACTCTGCTCTAATCAGGCAGGCTGCCCTGGGCATCCCCCCCAGGTTTCTGCTGGGCCGGGTGAGATCAAAGAGAGCCGGGCTGGGGGCTGGAGCCTGGAGCCTCAGCTGCCATTCTCATCGATCCAGATGCGCCTCTTGTTGCTAGGCAACAGCCTCCAGTCTCTCCTGTTCCTTCCTCCCCCCAGGGGCTGCAGGATAGGGCAGTTAAGGGGTGGGGGAGAGACCCCACATTCATTCTCCAGGTTTTCTCACACCAAGCTAGAGAGCTATGTCACCAAGTGGGGAGCCCCTCCACCTGCCCAGGAAGTGCTCCCCATTCTGGGAGCTTGACCCTCTCACTAAGATGAACCCCTTTCTCCCCTCACATTTGAATTCATCTCTAGAACATTCAAAATCCACACTTCCTCTGCTCCATGTGAGCACTCTCTCAGGAGTACAGGCCAGGGATTCACCGGAGAGGGGAGGGGACCCTCAGGGGGTCAGTGACAAAGTCAAAATAAGACTGCAGGCTACCGACTTCCAGCTCAGTGTTGGACTAGATATGAAAGCCATTTAATCTTGAGAGAATGGCTCTGAAGACAAACTCACACTCTCAGTTTTGAGTGGGTTGGCTTTTTTTTTCTTTTTCCAAAACGTAGGATGCATTTCATAGTAGTTTTTTTTTTTCTTTTTTGTTTCAAGTGCTATAATTTAAAACTGTAAGTTGTGCTTTAAAACAGGCATTAAAATGTACTATGAGTTTTGGGGGCTGTAATTGACTAAATAATGGAAATCTGATCATTTTGTCACAGTTTAATATTTTGCATATTTTATCTCCCTGATACTGCTCCTCCACCCTCTTTTTAAAACTGACTATGCACATTTCATCCCAGAAGTTGTTATGTGGTGACCTACTTATATCATGGCTGATTTAGGGTTTTAATGTCTCTCCCCCTCTGAGGTCTTTACAGCCCTTTGGGATTGAAAGTATCTGGTTCTTCCCTCTGGTCCCTCATTAAACCTTTTATCTTTCCTTCTTTCTTTCTTTATTTCTCTCTCTTTCTTTCTTTCTTTCTTTCTTTCTTTCTTTCTTTCTTAATGCAACTAAGGAAGAGGAAGAGGTGATGCACTTCCTAAAGTGTGAAGATCCAGAATTCAGCTGTTAAGGGCCCAGCCCTGAGAACCACCGAGAGGTGCACAGTCCCTGGCCAGCAGTCCTGGTGTCCACTGCCTGCCACCGGCTCCCCCCAGCTCCACAGCACAGTGACAGCTCCTCCCTGACTCCCCTGCCAGCCCCAGTCACACACTTCAACTCTGAGAGGCACAGCTTTGCAGGGTCCTTGACAAATGGTAGCCAATTAATGTCAATTAATCTGATTAGCCTAAATAGTTAATTAAGCAGTTAATTAAAACATCATTGACAATAACCTGAGGGATTGTGGGTGGGAGGCATGAATGATAGGGAGAGGGGTCCCTCTTTGCTCTGGGAAGGCACAAGCCCTTTAAGGTCAGATTGGCAGTGAGGGCTGCTTCAGCAGCTGGGGCTTCTCCCACCTTGTCTGCCATCAGCCTATAGAACTGTCATCAGGTTGTCTAACCGTACCCAGCCATGAGATTGCTCCCAGCCCCTGGCCAGTGTCGAGAGGGTCTGAATTCTATGGGAGAGGCTGAACTTAGGGGAAAAGGCCTTCTTTCTGGGAAACTCATCCTAGAAGCCCAGAGAGGAGTCCTGGCTTTTGTTGCTGGACCCTCTCACCAGCCCCACCCAGACCACACACCTCACAGCTTACAACCCCATTAAGACTGAGGACTTCCCCAAGCTGCAGAGCAGCCCTAGGGGGGAACTGTCGTCCTTAAGCCCATCCCACAGATGGGGAAACTCAGCACCTCCCACATGCCATGCCCTGTGCTTGCACTGGGGACCTGCAACCACAAGTGACACAGGGTCCCTGCCCTCAAAGAACTCCTAATCTGTGCAGCCTCTGTGGTCCTACCACATCTTGCCTGGGTGATGCTGGTATACCTCAGTATCCTCTGCTGTGACCTGGCTCCTTCATAGGATGTTGTGAGGATTATAGGAGTTAGTACATGAGACCCCTAGAGCAGTGGCTGGCACGTGGGAAATGCTAGATGAGTGTTCATGCTGATTACTGAGCGAGATGGAAAGGCAAACCAGGCACTTGGGGGCATGCAGAGGAGAGGTCCCGGAACGAACATTGCACAGAGACATGTGAGCAGAGTCTGAAGTTCAAGGAGGTAGAAAAAGAGGAAGAAGGGGATCCAGCTAAAGGGAACAGCAGGTGCAAAGTAATGAGGCACCAACTCTCAACTCTAAATGTACAGTCACCTGGGAGCTTTAAAAAGTACAGCCCCCCAGTCCCCACACTCAGATTCTGACTGGGACAGGTGGGCCCCAGAAATCTGCTTTTTATAGGATGTTCTAGAAATGCTGAGGCAGGCACTCTGCTGCGGTTCTGGATGTCCCAGGTTGGGAGGAGCAGAGCTGCAGAAGGAGAGGCCCCAGGCCATGTGACCTGTGTCCTGAAGGCACTCTGCAGGCCCCCCTCTTCTCTCCATCTGTCCAAATCAGGCTCGCCCTTCAGGGGTGACCTTCCTAAAACAGCTCCGGCTGTGTGCTTACCTGCTGGAACAGCCCTTGGTTTCTCTGCCACCTATAGAAGAATGGTTAGACTCCCCACCTAACAATAAGGCCCCTCCTGAGGCCTCTCTCCCCAGCCTGGTCCTTTGTCCTTCAGGCCAGGCCCTGATTCTCCAGCCACACTTTTCTACAAGTGCCTGGTGCTCTTCCCTCCTCCATGGTTCTGCTCGTGCTATTCCCTCTGCACGAAATGCTCTTCCCCTTCTTCCACTCCTGGCAAACCTGTGCTCATTCTATGAGGTCCCATCTGTAAATACTGGCTCCAAAGTCACCTGGTCAAGCAACCCTCCCGCCACCACAGATACCCAGCAGCTCTAGGGATGCTCCCACATAACCCATATTCCATCCCCCAACATCCACCAGTTATGGGCCTTGCTCCCCACTAGACTGAGGCTGGCTCTTCCCTTTCTCCAGTGCATCCTACAGGGTTTGGGGATGACAATGATAATTGAGCTTTTCAGTTCAGAGGACCTGATGATAAAATGTTCAATGGATGAATGAATAAATGAATGAATGAATGAATAACCATCTATGCTTTCTGAAGTATGAGAAGGGACAGAGGAAGAGAGAAGAGAGGTGTTCTGGGAATAATAATGGGTGGGTCACAAGAATCAAGATGCATGTGTCAGACCATACCAAGCAAGGAGGGGAGACAGGACTGCGGAGGCAGGGCCTGCTGAGTGTCCCAGCTTCTTTACAATCCCAGAAGCCCCCTCTGGCATCCTATTTGGAGAAGGGGTGGCTGGGCTCCCCTGCCAATCCTGAAGCTTACCCTCCCCAGCCTGGGGTTCTCTGTCTGATACTCAAGTCTGTGCCAGCAGCTGGGATGGGCATGGAGGACAGACTGCCCCGCTTCTCACTCTGCCCTTGCCCCATGGGTTTTCCTTTCTCCCTGAGTGAACTTAGCCTGGAGCACGTGCACATACACCCCTGTCAAATCTCCCAGAGGAGCGTCTCTGGTACCTGTCCCCTCTCCCACTCTGCCATCACCTCCTCCCTGGCCTCTCTGCCCTTGGTCTCTTTATCTCCATCCTCCTCCTTCCCCCATCACACGCAGTCATAGCAGGCTCCCTAAAGTGCACATCTGACCGTTTCATGACACTGCTCCAAAGCCTTCCAAGACTCACATTGATTTCCAAATAAATTCCCAGCTCTTACAATGGTTTTCAAGGTCC